AAAAAGTAACACGTTGTCACTGACAATTTCCTAATCCTCAAGGGCCACACAGGCAGGTTGACGTTTAAATGTCATGAATCTTGTCCTGGAGGCAGACCTGAGCGATTTACGCTAGATGGGCCAGCTGCAAATTCAAAATTGGCTGTATCAAAAATTAATGAAAGCAAAACATTTGCGTTTTGGTCTTCATTTAAGGTTAGGGTTTAAAATGGGATTTTATGACTTTGTGGCTGTGCTAGCTAGTGACCACTCTACAGAGCTGCCTCCAGGTCAAGATTCATGACAATAAATGCCACACACAGGGGCTATAGTCAGCCGAAAACCACCACTGGCTGACAATACCATCACCCAATAGAGATGTTGAGGATAATTTTTTTTTTAAATACCCTTGGTTCCTTAGCATTGCTGTTACCATTTCTCGCATTGGAGAGGTTAAACATTATAACAATTTTTTACATTTACTGTACGTCGTGAAAGGAAAGTCACCATTGGTGCCTGACTGTCATTAAAAGTCCCACAGTCAGCCAGTCAAATCAAATAAGATAAAATTGTATTTGTCACATGCGACGAATACAACAGGTGTAGACCTTACCGTGAAATACTTACTTACAAGCCCTTAACCAGTCAGTCAGTCTGTCAGTAATTGCCATTGAGTCCCATTGTGGTAACCAATCTAGTTCCATGAAACAGATGGTTCCTCAGTTGGTGACTATGGGAAAAGGGACACGCAATCGACCCACCAGAGTGACAATGCTCCCCATTTCCACTTTAGACCTTGCTGGTCCCAGCAGGGGAGATGCACTGTCATGCCACGACAATGTTTCGCAGAGACAATGCCTGCGTCCCAAATGGTACCCTAGTCCCAACATAGTGCACTTCTTTTGTGCACTACCCTATGGGCCCTGTTCAAAATCAGTGCACTAAATAGGGAATAGGGTGCTCTTTGGGACGAAACTAATGAGAGAAGACTGTGACACTGCGACATGCTGATAGCCCATTAACAACCTATTAACACAGGGAATATTGTCATTGTATCATTTGATCCCACAGCATGTCATATTGTCATATTCACAGGTAGCCTCTACAGAGATGGGTTTTCCAGAGTATTTCAGCGTTGAAACGTCACGTCCAATGTCCAAACTTCAACAGGGGGTAATAAACAGAACAGATGGGTTGATGGGAATTTCAGTGGCATACAATTTACCCCACAGAATCCCTATCACAGCCCTCCTAGATCAACTCCCAGAATTAATTGCAGTGGAAACTTAATATATTGTCCAGCTAGGTGCTTTGTTGGATCAGGAAAAGCAGTGCTCAACACAAACACAAAATGCACCAGCAGTTCATATTTGTAAGCAAACCAAAAATCATTTGTTATCCTTTGTCATCTTTGAATAGAACAGGAATTGAAGGCGTATAGTGATCCTGTCAAGCGCAAAAACACCTGTACAGTTAATAAACCCTTTGTTTACCAACAGTAGCACAATGTAATCTAGACTGCAAATCATCACTGAAGAGAGTAAAAGGAGGTCCCAGCTCTACTTTCCAGCTAATGTCTAAGTGGATGGATACGAGATCTATCTCTAGGTAATGAGGTGTGTATGGAGATGGAGCCAATATATATGACCTAATTACAGTTGGAATATCCCACATGAATACGTCTATTACAGTCCACTCAGGTAATGAAACAGCTGGAGTAATTTTTGGACCATCTGTTGGTGTCTCAACAAGCCATTTCCACACCATACAATATTCAAGCCCACCTGTTACCTGCAGCTCCTTGGGAGGTGTTAAGGGGTATCATGGGACTGATGAGTAGCTTCATAATGTGTTTATCGGCATATATACTGCACAATATCTTCCAAATTGTATTGATTCATTAGACACCATGGCCAAACAGTCATTTTTTTTGGTGTGACCACCACAAGAATATCTGAACGACGTAGGCGCACACATACTGTTGCATCCCTGGTTAAAGGGTTATTTTGCTCTTGAATAAGGAACACGACAGTGTACAGGATAGCATCTCCAATAGGCAGTTTATTAAGCCTCTGACAGAGGAGACGACATGACTACATCCATAGATCTCTCCATCTGCGCCCCCTCAAAGGGTAGCAGGGATATACCACAGGCCATCATCCAATGAGGACCTGCCAATTAAGATGGTTACAACCAATAAGAAGGATGCATTTTGTGATCACGAGCTCACTCAACAAGTGCATGCATGTTTTAACAGATGCACCGTGTGCATAATAACATTCTGCTGTTTATTCTCATAAACATATACATCTTGCCTAGTCGTGTCAAAATGACCCGAAATCCATCAAGTAAATGTGTCAGAGATTGATAGTCTAGTTAAACTTTTCCCTAGTCCAATGTCTGACTTGAGCAAATGCCATTACTGTCTGTCTCTATTGAGTAAAAACAAGCTATTTGCAGACACACAATGTTCCCTCAGAGTTTTGGCGCGCTGCCCATCCACTGTATTTCCTGGTCTCACACTGGGGCTGAGGCAGCTCTCTATACCATTATATTATGTTCAGTACCAGATGCAGCAGCCTGTGTTGAAATGAGGCTTTTGTGTCCTGCTTGCATAAATACTTTTTATATCCAAAATAAGTATACAGTACCCAGCGATGCCATAGGTTCCCAATCTTACCAACCTCATAACTAGCTACCAAGAAGCAATTTCAGGCTCTCAAGTTAGAGTAGCTAGCTCGTTTAACTATCTTAGCTGGCAAGGTTGGTAGACTTTAGAAAAGCAAGCAATAACTAAATGTACTGAATAAGACTTACATTCCTTTCAATCTTTTACTCAGATTTGAGCAGAGATGTAGAAAAGCATATTTTGTTTCTTTTAAAAAAGAACCATCATTTAGAGGGATACAGACAGCTCAAGAGGTATGCTTAGATATGCAGAAAAATAAACACATGCAGTGGCTTGCGAAAGTATTCACCCCCCTTGGAATTTCTTATTTTGTTGCCTTACAACCTGGATTAAAAATAGATTTTTGGGGGGTTTGTATCATTTGATTTACACAACATGCCTACCACTTGTGAAACAAACAAGACAAAAAAACAGAAAACTTGAGCGTGCATAACTATTCACCCCCCCAAAGTCAATACCTTCAGGGTTATCTTTGGTCTCTTTGTTGCCTCTCTGATTAATGCTCTCCTTGCCTGGTCCGTGAGTTTTGGTGGGCAGCCCTCTCTTGGCAGGTTTGTTGTGGTGCCATATTCTTTCAATTTTTTAATAATGTATTTAATGGTGCTCCGTGGGATGTTCAAAGTTTCTGATATTTTTTTATAATCCGATCCTGATCTGTACTTCTCCACAACTTTGTCCCTGACCTGTTTGGAGAGCTCATTGGTCTTCATGGTGCTGCTTGCTTGGTGGTGCCCCTTGCTTAGTGGTGTTGCAGACTCTGGGGCCTTTCAGAACAGGTGTATATATACTGAGATCATGTGACAGATCATGTGACACTTAGATTGCACACAGGTGGACTTTATTTAACTAATTATGTGACTTCTGAAGGTAATTGGTTGCACCAGATCTTATTTAGGGGCTTCATAGCAAAGGGGGTGAATACATATGCACGCACCACTTTTCCGTGATTTATATTGTATAATTTTTTGAAACAAGTTATTTTTTTCATTTCACTTCACCAATTTGGACTATTTTGTGTATGTCCATTACATGAAATCCAAATAAAAATCCATTTAAATTACAGGTTGTAATGCAACAAAATAGGAAAAACGCCAAGGGGGATGAATACTTTTGCAAGGCACTGTACTATTTTTACATAGAATCAAGCATAATGATTATGGCTCTAGATTGCATGAAAAGGTTGTTTCAGGTGTTTGAAAAATGTGAAATTCTCCAACTTACGGACGGGGGGGCTAGCACCCCGGCGAACCACCCCCCAGCTATCCTCACGTACTTTGTGCCTCCTGCCCTCCTCTGTTGTCCTCTGAGAGATCGTTTCTGAAAGATTTCTGAGAGAAAAATCTAATCTTGTGTCAGCCCTTGTGTATATACTTTCTGAGAACATGGCCTCCCAGGAGAGTGTTGCCATTGGCTCAGTAGACCACTCCATTTATTGCTTTCACTCTCTTCATTCCCAATACAGTTAAAACACAGAATTGGCAACAGACAACAAGAGGTAGCACATACGGCATGTAGTTATGATAGTATAGAGATGTTTACTGAAGATGCATCAGGTAGATTTATACATTCTCTGTGTCACTGATTCAATATATTTTACGTAGTACCTACATCCAGTCGGCGCCAATGCTTTTGTCATGTAGCAACACTGCCACCTAGGGGTACACATCACAACTTTTCTACAGGAGACAGAAATATGAATTGTATGAATCTCAAGTAAAAAGGACATGGTGTAACTGGTGAAGAGTATGTCCTTGTATTAATTTGATCATCTTTATTGATTATCTATGTTATACTTTTAATAGCATCTCACAAAGCACAGTTCAATTTGAAAACCACTTCCATAAAAACAGAATTCAATTCAACATATTGTCTGGAATTCAACAAAACATTTTTTTGTCAAAGTCAAACTGGAGAATACTTGTTTTACTTGCCAAACCATGTCCAATGAGTGGGGTAGCTGATTATACATGCATTGTTAGTGATAACAATTTAACCAATTTAGAGCCGCAGTAATGCATGAATCTATTACATTGGTTCTTAGCTTTACAGTATAACAAGAAAAGTGCTCTATGCTTTGTTGGCAAAAACTATTCTATGAAGTTTCAGGACTAAACCAATTTGGCTTTGTCAACTCTGACAAAACACTGGCAATGAAGCAAAGTGCGTTAACCCTTTGTAGACAAACAGGGTATAAGAAACCTATTGAAACTAAATGGGACCAACAGGAAAAATACAAAGTTTGCATTGACATTTCAGTTCTTTATCAAACTAAAGTTCCTACTTTATAATTTACTGGCTTTCTCTCTCTCTCTGTTGTTTAACTGTTACCTAGCTACTCGTCCTCATGGTGCTCGCAGAAATCATGGCAACAGACAGTTACCATGGTGATAAATGTCATGAACTCTTGGAAGTCCAATTCCGAGTCTCCGTCCGTGTCCAGGCTCTCCATCAAACTGTCCATAGTGGCCTGGTCCTTCACTTGCTGAGGGCAAAAACAAGAGATAGATATGGTCATATTTGATTGACTAAAGGTGCATTCTGCAATATTTATGGCTGGTTTATGGTTATTTCACCCATTGATTCTAGAATAATAATGTTTAAATGCCTCATGAGCTTAGTGCAACATTAGTGCAACCCCAAAGTCTGTAGAATTATTCATGACTTATTGATAAATGTACATTACGCTGTAACCATAGCCTGGATTCAAACAGAATTTTCAGTTGAAACAATAAAGTATGAAATATTGTAGTGAAATATGATAGTGATATACTTACCCCTGTAAGGGCTGGTAGTTCCTCATTGATCAAGTCTTTTAGTTCACTTTTCTTCAGTTTGTGCTTGTCCCCTTCTTTCTCTGCGTACTTATGGAACACCTCCATGATGGTGGCCAGTGAATTCTCCAGATCAGTCATTGTGGTTTGTAATGTGATCTACAAAGCATAGCTAAAAACATTTAATCTGTAGGCCTAGTATGTGACATAAACAACATGTACAGATGTAGGATCTTAATTTGAGCCAGGTTGCTACAGCAGGAAAAATAATCCTGCAGCAACAGGAAATGTGAATTATTGTGTGGATTATAATTAATGGACATTTTTGTAGGGCTTGATACATTTCTCATAAGGGAAAATCAAGTCTGAAATTTCAAAGTGGAAATAACAAACTTCAGAAGTATTTTTAAACCTCAAATACACTACAAGTTTTACATTTCCTGCATTGAAGGAACCTGCAACAGGGTGATAAAACATTAAGATCCTACACCTGTAAGCAGGCAAGTAGCTACAATACATCGGATGATGACATTCTATCTCTCAGACCTCTCTCTCAAAAAAAAACCCGCAGCACAGTGATTAGCGGGGAGTAATCAAGATACTCATACAAATTAAAAAATGTTTTTAAGCCTGTCATTACACTATACAAATCCCCAAATCAAAGTCTATGAACGAATACCTCCAGTTTAAGATCAACGCAATAAGAAACAGCAGATACAGTAGAATATCTTGACTTACCAGAGTGTCTCGGACTGGAACAAAGGTTATTTGCAGATGAGAGTGAGTAGTGGCTGTGGAGGGACAAAGAGTATTTTATAGTTGGTGTGGGGAGGGCCTAGTGCCTCTGGTCAACCACCCTGCCAGTCCAGCACACTGACCAATAGGCTCTGTTTCACCCTCTCACTCCACTGTATTCTCACACAGAATTCACCATTGATGGCTATGCCAGTCTTTTACCATGTTATAATGGTCAATTTACAGTATTGTTTGAATCCCATTGTTTTGAATGACAGTATGACTGAGCTGAATTTGTGGATTTGGGCTTCCAGGTTTACAGCTGATGTCTAAGAAAGGGATATCACTAGATTGCATTATATCATAATAGGCTATCTAATGTTCACATGATTGTACAGCCAATAGATTTTTATTTTGTCCTTAAAAAGGTTGGACAATTTACAGTTACGAACTCTATACCCCCTTTAAAGTATTGCCAACCGAATTAGGCAAAACAAACAAACAAGACTTTTACCCTCTCCCCCTATACGTCTTCCTAACCTCCACCCTTAAACCACTTTACCTGTAACTGTAAAGAGGATTTTCTATGCATGGCCATTTGTATTGATCTCTCAGACTTTGGACCTTCTGGTTGCCACAATCCCCACCAGCATTTTGTCTGAGACAATGGCCTGTTTCAGAGGAAATGGATGGTTGTGCATGTTAATGAACACATTTCTTTTCACTTGTCGAGTTCGCCAGACGTGTGCCCTCTGCACCCCCAGACTACTAAGTAGGCACAGCCATCCATGTCAAACTCATGTTACAAAAGTTAAATATGTTGTGATGTTTCACCATTATGAATAGATGCCTGAACTGTAGGAATGATAAGTGTTACAGTTAACTAGAACAGAAATGGAGAGGGCTCAGAATTAGTTTATTTACTTGAACTATTGAGCTAAGACTTCCAAATTTGAGGTGGCTAAAGTCTAGGTATGCATAAGCTACAAAAAGCTTAACCTACAGTAGCAACATGATCCCTTACTGTTTAATTAAAAAGAGGTTGAAAAAAAGTGATCAAGTTCCAGAATACATTGAATTCTTGTTCTACTAACTTCACCCTCCCACAAACTCCCTCAACTCTCTGGCCAGCATCTGTTTTGCATTCTGCGCAGGCAGCAGTTGGGAGAAAGTGCTTTTTACTGCATGATAAATGTTTCTTTGTCTCTTCCGAAATATATTTCACATACTTCGGACAACAGTTGACCATTGTCCAGTGAAAACAGTTGTTCTTGTGTGAAGAAATCAGCTTTGTAGTCAGATGACTATATAAACAGATCCAGTCAAATCCATAATCTATCATTTTCCATACCCCTTCTCTCTATAACTTATGAAGCATAAAACAAACTACACTCTGGAAAATATTATTGGTAGGAGGTTGAGCTTGAGTTTTTCTAGATGATTTCAGCTGAGCTCAGAGAAAGATCCACCAATCCCAAACAATCATCTGATCATATCACATACACTCTATCCAATGTCCTGACAGGACTGTTGGGGGGTGAAAGAAGGTGAAAGAGTTGACGACGGGACTCCGAGCTGAGAATAAATCAATTCCTCTCTCTCTCTCTCTCTCTCTCTCTCTCTCTCTCTCTCTCTCTCTCTCTCTCTCTCTCTCTCTCTCTCTCTCTCTCTCTCTCTCTCTCTCTCTCTCTCTCTCTCTCTCTCTCTCTCTCTCTCTCTCTCTTTCTCTCTCTCTCTTTCTCTCTCTCTGATCAATGATGATGGTTTGAGAACAAACAAATCGGTGTTATGGTGAAATAATCATTATTTCAGTGTATCACGTATCAAGTAAAAGGGTTCATACAGTGCAAGATGAAGAGAATAAAGCATTGTGTTTGTGTTGGGTCTGATGGCTCTGATGGGTCTGGTGGACTTGTGACTTCCCATCTTTAAGGGATGCATATAATGAGTCACAGTGGTGGGGGATGCTGGGACAGTAGTGAAGACACAACAGACAGGGCTCTGTAAAGACCAGCCAAGCAACCAATCACGTGCTCCCATTGACTAGTCATCTCAGGGCAGGAGTTGTATTACCGGGATGTGAGTGTGACTGTCACTCCTTGGCCACATCAGCTAGCTATCCATCAGTGTCTTTAATATTGCCATTGATACTGGTGTTAACCCAACCCAAAAACGGGATTATATGGCTTGGAGATGTTGGTAGACAGATTTGTTATAATTGTGGCTTAAAGCAAGAGTCCTTAATTGAAACAATAAGAAAGTGGCCAACCCGCCTCTATTTTGGTAAAAAGCTGAGGGATGGGCCTGGAGAAATGGAATCACTCTGAAATTCAGAGACAGAGCTTTGGATGCAAGGACTGACCATCCATGATATCATTGTTTTAACCATGTTTTGTGGCTATAAAGTGTTTATTTACTTTTAAATTGTTTACAAACATTATAGTAAAAAAACAAGCTCATATTTTGGGATCTGATGGGGTACGACAGTTGAACTAAGCTCATGAGGCATTTATACGTTATATTCTTCAAGAATCAATGGGTATATCATTAATTTATAAGTCCAAAATGGATATAGCAAATTCTAGTTCAGGATTCTACCTTTTTTGAAATTGTATTTGACATCTTACAAGTTAAATATCCCCCTTTAAAATGTTGAAGACATTTTTTTATCTCGCTGTAACTCTCCAAAAGAGACATGTCACCTTTTGTAGTGTGAGATAATGTGGTCTCCCTGTGTTTTGCTGTAACCATGGCTACAGGTCAGATCCTCTCACTAAATTGAAAAGGTTTGCCAAGTGGCTGACTCATCCCTGGCAGAGTGCAAGGAGCTCCAGTGGTCTGGACAATGACTGGGGGAGTAACCAGGGGTAAAACTAAGAAAACAACACTGAGGTTTGATCATCTGAGGACATACAGTATGTTCTCATCTCTCTCCATCTCTCTCCTTCTCTCTCCTTCCCTCCCTTTCTCTACCATTCTCTCCTCTTCTCTCGCTTTCTCTCTCCTTCTTTCTTATTCTCTTCCCTTATCTCCCATTTTCTGTCATCTCTCCTTCTCTCTCCTCTCTCCTTCTCTCTCCATCTCTCTCCTTCTCTTCCATTCTCCCCCCTTCTCCAATTGGTAGATTTCTACTTCAACTGGGATATATATTGCTTGTAAGTCATTTATTAGAGTGGGACTTTAGGCTAACCAGTTATTCTACTGATCCCCTTAGCTTGCCATTTAAAAGATGTCCAGAAATGTAATGTTGGACTCTTTGCCACAAGGTGGCACCCATGCTGCACATAGAAGACAAGTTTCAAGTTTCAAGACACACACAAAACGGTTATCAGTTTCAGACATCATGTACAACCCATCAGATTAAAAAGACTCATGTACATCCCATCAGATAAAAAAAAAACACACTGGTCATGGTATGGGTGAGGAGAGAAAGTAACAGCCTGCAGGGAACACTGCTTTTATGAGAAGGAAATGTAAAGTTTCCTTCAACACACACACTTCATTTTCCTCTTGATCCATTCTGTGTTCAGGGACACCACTCCTCATCAACCTCTACTAATTACATTGCATCTATTAACATATTTGATGTGCTCGACAGGTTATCATCAAGTCCCATCGCCAGCGTTTGTACAGATAAGTAGTGCATTTCACTGGAATTGAGTGGTGAAAAGGTTGAGGAAGGTTAGGGACGATCTATTCTGCAAAGTAATTAACTCTATATGGTGAGGTAATTTGCTAGCAGCAACTCCCAGAACATTTCCCTCTAAAGAAAATAGATATCTGGAATTGGTCCATTCACTATATGATAGGAGTTAGATGAGAGTTAGATTTCATAATGATAATAATGTTATGGTATTCACCACTAGAGGGAAGTAACTAAACAATTTATTTGGTAAAGTAGTCGTGACTACAGCACTTGAATGCTTGGCATACCCACATACAGAACACCCATTGCTCTTACAACCCATCTCAGTAGGCTTGTGACAGCCAATCAGATAACGATGCATGCCTCCACCCATGCGTTGCTGACGCATGCCAGATCTTACAACGCCTGGATAAGTATTTGACCTATCAACGCCGACTGGTCGCTTTCCCCTGCTCAGACATTGCATGCATCACGTGCCACATCATCGACTGTGCAGTCGGGCACCAGATTGCTATAAACTATAATGTGATTAGCTGATACGTGAAATATCTTATACAGGCGTTGTAAGATCTGGCATGCGTCAGCAACGCCTGGGCAGAGAAAGACGCACAACATCTTACAAGATGTCCATGTGATGAGATAACTGTGGGCCAACTTGAAGGAGTCTTCACACTTGATATATAATAATAATATGCCATTTAGCAGACTCTTTTATCCGAAGAGATTCACAGTCATGCGCGCATACATTTTCGTATATGGG